TTGGGGGGTAGCTGGAAGCAGTCAGATCAAAGGAGGTGAATACAGCTCTGTCCTCCTGGTCAGCGTGGCTCTGGGGAATCATCACAGGACCCTGGTTTTGAAGGTTCTGAGCACCCGTTGCTCCCTCTGAGGACACAGAGCTGGGAGTGCTCAGTAGCATTTAAAATTGAGCCCACAGTTCTTTGTTCAGCTGGAAACTTGGATAAAAAGCAGGAGCCACACAGAAAACCATATCCTAAATCTAGCTGGACTTTCGTGATCAGTGGGGAAAAGTGATTCTAATTATATGGGGCTGAGAAGGGTTCCTGCTTCTTGGAGTCCTAGTGTGTACATACACAGCCTGCTTCAGCTACTGCTTGTGTCCTCCACTAGCACCTCCTATAGTCTAATGCTAAATCCCTGCCACCTTTGTCTCCTTCCAGGGTCAGACAGTGAGGCTTATTGTGCATCAGGCAGGAGTTTGCAGAGACTTGGTCCGTGCTGTTCAATCCTCTTGGAAGGATTGGAAACAAGGGACTTATGAGTCAGTGCTCAGTCTTGCCTTATGTGCCTCCCTCTCTGGTACAGCTAGGAAACATGTTCAGGAGTCGCAAAGCTGGCGTCTGTCAGGAGATGGGTGTCAGAAGCTGATCTGGACATGCAGATATGTTTCTTCATTCATTCACACACCCTCTCCTGCACACTGACTGACCAGATACTTCTCTACACACGTTTATATATAGCATTTAGACTTCCCAGTACAGTCTTTGACAGAGATCCCTTTCCACAATCTCTCACTGACGCACACATACCCAGGGAGATTTTCCTATATGGTCCCATGTTCTTTACTTGCCTGTTACTTATATAGTAGGCTAAAGTAGTCCCCGGGAGCTGTATAAGCTTTCAAAGTTCTCCTTTCTTTTCTTAGCCTGCTGGCTAATTCCCTCTTAGAAAGGCAATATTGGACCTATTTTAACGAAGGGGGTTTTGTCTTCATAATTTCCTGGGGAGACTCCACTTGGGAGAATGTGCACGATGAGTGCCAGTTTCTTGCTCATTATCCTATAGCCCCCAAGTCTACATGTTTCCCCCCCAAAAGCAGAATAAAGGACAGAGCCCTGGCTCGGATGTCCCATCCCCCAGTATCCAGACCTTGCACTCCATTTGGGCTGTTTTGCTTTTCCTTCCATATATAGTGTGCTGCTGCAGGCTATTTTTAGCCCCTTTTTTGCTAGCTTCGGATCCTTTGTGATACGATAGCTGCTCTGAGACACACAGATCTCTGCTCTTTGGCAATGCCCACAAATGGAGAGCAGTGGCAAGGGGAAAGGGAGCCCTTTTATTATCACACAGAAAAGAAGAGAAAAATGCGGTGCAGGGGAGGGGCAAGAAGACCCAGGGACAAGGCTTCCTGTGCCTTCCAGAGCTGCGTACTTTTCACCGGGATTTGTTTCCCGACTGCTGTCCTGCTTCACTTTCATCTGTTTGTGGGTATGGGGAGGGTTTTTTTGTTGATTAGGTAATAATAATAATTACTTCTTCACTGTTGTTTGAAAGTGTATGTGAAATGAGTTGGCTGGGTCTCATACCATCTTTGTGGTGAGATGGTTCCCTTCATAAGGTGCCTCCACTTGAAGAGCCTCTGGCCTACTGGTTAGGTGCCTGTGCAAATAAGTGAAGGCTGTCTTGGCTTTAGGGGATGTGTCGATGGGCTCATGCTGGGATGAGGGAAGGTGCGCTTGCTAGGCAGCGAGTAGTAGGAACTGGCCATGGTTTCATCTCAAATGTGGATGAGGAAAGACTGAGCAGCACTGGCAAAGCTGTTGATCGGGGAGGGTATGACGATCATCTGGAACCAAATTTGGGCAGAGGAAAAGCAGAATGCAAGGTGTTTTGAGGGATGAGGGAATTAAATCCAGGGTAGTGAAACCTAAACTCAAGCTCAGACTTTGCAAAGCTCAAAAAAAGGTCTGGAAACTTTCCCTTTCCTATGGTCTTGGGTTTTGCATCTAATTATTTGCATCAATTGAGGTCTAGCCACATGGGGAGCAAAGATGCTTTCCAAGACCAGGTATGCAGATGAGAGAAGTTTAAAAAGGAGCTGTTTTCCTGCAATGTTTCATTTTCTCCAGTGTTGAAAGAAAATACTAGGTTTCCTTGAATCTCCTCTCTGGATTTGTAATGTCTGTGGGGCCTGAACTGAGCTGAGATTTGTAAAACTGATTTGATATATGGGATTGAAAAAGAGAGTGTCTCTTCTTTTTTTTGTGTGCTGCAGGTTAGGATAAAGAACGAAGGGGGTTGGCTGGCTTTCAGGGCAGCTGTTAAAGCTAGTAAAAATCACACTTAATAGTTTAATTTCCTATCAGATCCTCTCTGTGATATTCTTTCTCCCCTTGCAGTTTGGCACAGGCTGGCTAGAGTTTTTCTGTGAAGTGCTTGGAAGTCAGGGCATTGTGAAGGAGGCTAGGGGATTGTTTTACAGGTCCAAAAAGCGAGGAAAAGTAGAGCAGGGAAAGCAGATTTAACAGAAAGAGGGAAGTGTTAGACCCAGTAGAGATTTCATGGGTTTAATCACTTCTGTTGGGTCGTAGGGTTACACTGAAATGGAGGTGGAGAAGAGAGAAAAAGAGGTAAAAAGGAGAACTGCTTTAAAGCAAGATGAAATTATTTAATATGTCTGTGTGTGAAAGATAAAGTTGATGGCTTTGGTACGGTGTTGGAGGAGCCACAGGATGAGGCCAAGGCGGGGAGCACAGATGAAATGATCCTACCTTTGAGGATGGAGTAATACAGCCTTTCCTTGTGGTTTCCTTCTGACAAGTCTTGTTATTGGACGCTGTGGGGCATGATTCTGCATTTAGCATCCTCTAAGATTAATACTGACCCATAAGGTTCTGTGAGGAGAAAAAGCTACAACCTGAGCCAGGCACTGCAGGGGCATTGCCACCCATTCTGTAACTAACAGGGTGTTTATTCTGAAGCCAGGCATCTCAAAATCCTATGCAGGGTGCTGGGCCTAAATGCCCAGAACTGGAAAGTCATTTTGGGCTAAACTAGATCCTAGCACTTAGCGAATGTGTCTTTGTCCTCCTGCTTGCAGGCTTCAGGCATGTTCTTTGCATTGTCTTTCTCATGTACCACATACACAGGCAACTAGTGTAGCAGCACTTCTGCTACATAAACACAGCTATGCTGGGCAATATTGAAACAGGAATACGACCCTCATGGTCTTGCACATTTTAGTGCCCATTGCAGGCAGTCTCTTCCTCTGTGTAGTCCTGTGGAAACTGATTTATGGAAGCTGATGGCTATTGAACTTTGACTTTGCTCATTGACTGAATCTTGTGTGCACAGAAATGCTCTCATATATGTACATGCCTGTGTGTATGCTGTCGTTGGCTGCCAAATTTCCCAAATCCTAGGGATCAGTTTTCATGCTTTGGATCTTTTGACCTGTTCTGTGACTGTCTTGGTGCCTTCCTTTTCCACTGTGTTTCAAGGCAGTGTTGATATGGTTTGAGCTGGACCCAGTGCCCAGAACCTCCATTCTGCTGCCAATGTATCTGCCTGTGCTGGCTCCCTGTGAGCGAGTGTGCTTGCCCATGAGAGCTGGAGTGAGTGATTGGAAAAGATGACGAGGGAGGTTTGAAGGACTCCTGCACACAGTAAATCTTTACTCTGCAGGAGAAAGCAAGAGGGAGAGGAGGAGGAGCGCTGTGTCAGACTGAAGCCTAAATGAGTCCAAGCTGGCACGTCAGAGCAATCTTTATTTCCTCCTTTACACTGATATTGGGTGACCTCCAGATGTGTGTTCTTCCCCTCCTGGTGGCCTGTGAAACTGCCTGAGGGAGTAGAGGAGGGAGGCGGGGAGGGAGAGACCCAAGGAAGGACAGCTTTTGCTCATTCTTCCTTGCTGTGATCAGGCTCAGGTAGACTAAGCCCATCCTGCCCCTTCCCCACCCTGTGCTCCAGAGAACAGGCTTTCTCCCTCTCTCTGGAGCCCACATCAGGACAAGAGCTCTTTCTGTCCTCAGTCCAAATCCTGATGGAGAGAAGGCTGTCCCTTACCCATTTAGCACCTGCATGGATTTTTCCCTTTCCTGGTCTTACTGGAAGCTGTTCCTGGCTGCCCAGGAAGCTGCCTGGAGGTTTCCACAGCCTTCACTGAACTGTGGCCCCTTTTCACGTGGCGAGTAGTAGCTGTGCATTCATTGGCATTGAGAAGGAAGGGAGCAAGTTGGGTGAAGAAAAATCTTAGAAAATTGACAGGGAAGGGAAGGACTGCAACAGCTATGGTGAATTGTCCTGTCTTTGTCTTGCCTTCTCCAATCTTTCCCCCCTCACTCCTCACTGCCAAGCTACTCATCCATACAGCCTTTGCTGCTCTTCCCCCACCTTAATTCATCTTCACCTCTGCTGCTTTCCTTCTCTACTCTGCGCTTTTCCATTCTGCCCTCTTCCTGCTCCACCCCGTATGTTGTCTTGCCCTGTCTCCCTTATCTGTTTCACACCATGCTGTCCTGCCAGCTCTCAGCCCTGCTGTTCACCAACACACATAGCACATCTCACATGTTTCTATCCCCCATACACATTCAGAAACACTGCCTCTGTGCACCTCCTTCCATATACAAACACACACAAGGACAGAACTGTACAAACCTCGGCATATTGGCGTTGGTCTCACTTCCAGTAAAATGACTTTTTCTTCATATTAGGCCAAGGCAAGAGTGCAGAGACATTTATGAAACTTTGTTTAATGTACTGAAAAGCCATCGGCTAGAACATTTAGGAAATTGATTTTCCTGGCATTGATGAACTCTTTTTATTTTACCCCAGTATTAATTACTTTTTTTTTTAAAACAAATTAATTTAAGAGTCGTAAAACCTAACAAGTGAGCCAAACGTCAGTAGATCATGTTCCCCTCTCCCCTTACTCCCCCTCCCTGCTACTAGTGCTGGTATGGGAGGAGAAGAAAAATCAACGCCTTGCGTGACACTCTCACTTTGGTTCTCTGTAGGGGAAGCTTCATCGTTGCGAGATTATGCTGCCACCACCATGAATGAGTTCCTGGGCATGTTCGGCTATGATGATCAGAACATGCGGGATGAGCTGGCCCGCAAGATCAGCTTTGACAAGCTGAATGCTGCTACCTCAGAGGCCACTGCAACTGCTGCCTCTCTTCCTGGCGAGGATGCCATGAGCAAACGAGCCCGCTTCTCCAAGTATGAGGAATACATCCGCAAACTGAAAGCTGGAGAGCAGCTCTCTTGGCCCATGCACTTGGCCAAATCTGAGGAGTTGGGCTCAAAGCTGGGCAAAGAAACTTCCTCAGTGCTGGCACAGCCCATTCGGGTGCCAGGTCCAGATGCCTCCATGCTCACGGAGACCAAAGCCACCATCCTGCCACTGCCCTCTCCCAGCAGTTCCCAGATGCAGGGCCTGATGTCACGGGCCTCCAAATATGACTTCTTCATTCAGAAGCTGAAGACGGGTGAGAGCATCAGGCCACAAAATGGCAACACTTACAAGAAGGCCTCCAAGTATGACCTAGAAAATGTCAAGTACTTGCACCTTTTCAAGCCTGGAGAAGGAAGCCCAGATATGGGAGGAGCCATCGCCTTCAAGACAGGCAAGGTAGGCCGGCCATCCAAGTATGATGTGAGGAACATTCAGAAGCTTACTCCAGTAAAAGCTCCAGCACCCAGCCTGGCCCCTGCTCCCCTCGCCAGTACCCCCAGCAGCACTCCTGTGGCCGGGCCAGAGCAGTCCGTCTCATTGCCGTTCAACACTCCGGAGTACCTGAAATCAACTTTCTCCAAGACAGACTCCATCACAACTGGAACAGTCTCTACAGTAAAGTAAGCGTCCTTCTACTTTTCTTATCTTTGTATTAGTGGGGGATCATTAGTGTTTGTAGGAGGACCTGATTCTTGCAAAACTCTGCTGACTTTACTGTTGGCAAGATGGGGCTTTTTGTTTGTCCCAGAACTCAGAAGAGGTTTTGGTGCCTAATTCCCATCAGTTTTCATAGGCATATACATACTTCTGTGGGGCCAGGCCTGTGTCTTCTCAATTTGCTTGTTCCTTACACAAATAGAGGTGATTCAATTACCCCTCAGACTGGGCAAACTCATTAGCCCAATTACCACTAATAACCTCCTACACATACATTGCTGGCAATCTCTGCAGTGATGCCATTGACTGAATGGAGATATCTGAAAGCCTTGCCAAACCTTGGATTATTTTTTAATGTGGCTTCCAGAGGTGGTAGCTGTAGAAAAGCTACACACATATGTGAGGCTGCAAACAGGAGGAAGGGAGGGACTTCTTTGCTTTCTTGTCATGGTTTGGATTTACTTGTTTCTCACTGTGGACCTGGGGCTGTTGTGAGCTGTGAATCCCGTGGGGTCATTAATAGTAAGTCTAGGACCTCTGGCCTGCACTTCTGTGGCAAATGCCATCACACACCCCCTACTACTTTGCCCTCTGGTACGGAAGGAAGCTGTTTTATGTTTAATATGTGGACCTAGGAAGTCTTGGGCTGAATCCTCACTTGAATGCTCTTTGCAGTCTCGGGCAAGTCTGCATCCTCCACTTTTCATGTTTCCCCACCTGGAAGGCAGAGCTAATGATACTTGTCTTCCATGTGAAACAGTCATTTCCCAACTGTCTGCAGACAGATTTGGGAGCTCTATGGTTAAGGTGTATGGGAAAGGGCAGAGGATTACTAACATTTGCATCTGGCCCCTGCTCAGAATGAACCCTGCATGTGCTCCAGATGGCAGTCAGGGATTCCTTTTACTAAAAACCACTGTGTTGTAAATATTCCTGTAGGCACAGTGCCTTGTTGTGATGGGTGACTTGGCCAGGGACTCTGTGCCTGAAGAGTCCGCAGAACACTCAGCTGCCTGGACTTCAGTGGCCATCCTAGGGCTATGCTTGGAGGGCTGCGAGCCTCTTCTTATCTACTTTGGTGTTGCACTGGGATCCCAGTTTGATTTCCTTTCTCTTGCTCATTTCCTGCCACTCGCAGATGTGGGTTTGCAGCACCATGGTGATCCCTCCTCTAGCCACAGGACTTCCTCAACTGGGAGCATCATGATGTGTCTGCAGTAGGAATGGAGATGACCAGGCTGCTTACTAGATACAGGCTTTCATGACAGAAGAAAGCAGCCCGTTAATTGTGCTGGTGGAGGAAGTGCTAACTGTGGTATCTGGGACCTGGCCTTCCGTTCACAGTCCCCACTGGGACCAAATAACCTGGCAGAAATTACCCCTTACTCTCACACATATGCACGTATACCTAGCCGTGGGTTTAAACTCTCTAACATCTAATGCTATTAACCTGAACTAATCTACCTACTTAAATTGAACTCTGTGCGAAAGTGTCCTTGTTTAAACCAGGCTACAGAGCTGTCATGAGTAGGAGTGGAGGTTGGGTGGGCAAAAATGAGAAGGAGGACTGCGTACAGGTGGTCTGGGATTATGTTGGTATGCCACTGCCTCTTAGGTAGGCTAGAGTCTGGTCCCGTATCTCTTTTCTTCTTGCTGAACTCATTGAGGGTGTCACTTTTGTTTTCTTCCTAATGATGTTAAGTCACCCAGGCTTATGTGACAGTTGGGTGCAGTTGGGTTGGTTTTCTCATTGATTAAAATACATAAATACCCTTGCTGCCTCATCCGTCTATTGGAGTTGGGGTATCTGTGTGAAAAAAGAGGCAATTAAAGCCCCACCTAGGGGGCTGTAGCCATGTTGCCAGGACCGAGTAGGGGTACACTGTATCTGCTGGCCATCGGAAATGTGCAGTAGCTCATAGCATGGGTGAAGTACAGAGACTCTTCTCCCACAGTTGAGCCTACAGCAGACATGCCTCAATGGCCCTTCTGTGCACATAAGGGCAGTGTTGCAAGGTGCCTCGGGGAGGTGTTTGTTTTTATGTGGCCATCACTTGTTTGTATATGGGTATTTAGGTTTTTTCTGTGGAAAACCAGGTTTTCATGGTTGGTCTTCTCAGTGTCTCCAGCAAACTGAACTGAGACCTGCAAAGAGGGAATATACAGGAGGGGTGCTAGGTGGACTATATGGTTCCCTAGGAAAAGAAGGTACAGGATTTGATGGGTAAGGGGGAAGGAGATTAAACCCATGGGTGTCTTTACTGGGTACTCTTACATGTCCCTCTCTCCTGATGTGTCAGTGGTGTGTGAGAGAAGCAAGGAGCTTAGACTGTGCCCTGTACCTGCCTGCTAACCAGCTCTGCCCTGTGTGTTTCTCATTAGGAATGGATTACCCACTGACAAACCAGCTGTCAGCGAAGACGTAAATATTTACCAGAAGTATATTGCCAGGTAGGCAAAACTCTGGACTTTCTTGGGGAGAGGGCTGGAAGTAAGAGGGGGGAGTGGCAGTGGGAGAGATGAGTGAGATCTTGCACATCTGGATCAAGTGTTTAAACCAGTCATTGGCACTTCATTTCCCTCTGGCATCTGTACTTGCTCTGTTCCCCTGCTTGGGAGAGCAGTAGCTGCAAGAGGTGTACAAGCATGCCAAGAGCACGCTCGGTTCCCCAGAGCTGTTAGGCTTTGTGACAAATAGTGGAAAAATGTTTCACTGCAGAAGCCCAGGATTTAAATGGGAATGTTGTCTCTTGACTGTCGTTCTTTCTGTCCATTGCTGTGCTGTCTCCAGCCTTTTTTCCCTACCATGTCCAGTGCCTGTAGGAGGCAAGCAGAGAGCTTCTCACCTCAGAGAATCTAGGCTGGAGGAATTCACAAGTGACTTGAGTTTAGGCAGACTTTGGCATCAATGTGGAATGTTTATCCTAGAATATTTTGTGGCTCATTTATATGAGAAACCCTCACTGAATAAGGTGCAGACTAGGGCACCTTATCTCAGCCCTGGGCAAGCTTAGGTCGGGAATGAGTGATGCTGAGAGGGAGCCCAAGGCTGTTTTGGTAAGACAAAGTGAGTAATGCCATGAGAGCCAGAGGGACAGAGGAGATTATTGCATAACACCTGCCTGTTTTATAGCTCATGGTGTAAAGGGTCTATCAGCCTTTGCCCCTGGCCTGTTGAATCCTCAGGAAGGATCCTGAGGAAGTTCCGTATGAAAGCTGCTTGTATACAGAAAGACACTAGTCAGGGAAGCAAGCAAACACTTCTCTCCAGAGATAAAACTGAAGGGTTTGTTCCCACCAGCACTTGGGCACTGATTAACAAGAGGGGAGGGAAATGTGTACTGTGCTTTCCCACCTTGCGAGGCAGTCACCTGCTAGGAAGGTGCAAGGGAAGATCTTGGCACATCTGCAGGGAAAAAGGGGGAGAACTGCTCTCCCTAGCTGGAGAGTGGAATGAGAGGTGATTTCCCTTCCATCCCTATTGCCCATATCCCTGATGTAGGAAAAGGGGACAGAAGACCACATGGGAAGAGAGGACAGTTGCACCACGACATGCAGCTCCTCAGGCAGCAATGCCTCTAGCACATGTGGCAACTCACTGCCTCCTGGGAGAGTGTAGGAATGAACGCAGGGATTTAAGCCCATCTTTGCATGGGGCAGAAGGAGCAGCACCCTTTATTACTGAGAATGCAGGAATTGCAGAGGTTGCAGCAAGAGAGGAGATACCACCCTTTCTGTCCCCAGGTCCCCTCTCAAGCAGAGAACTGTATAAACACTTCACCCACATCCACTCTTCATAGCGCTCTGCAAGCCCCTTCCCCTGGGTCAGGCAGGTAACTGAGGGAGGCTTGTGAGATAGCTAAGGGACACCACATCCTGCTTAAGAAGCTCCGCAAGCCGCCCGTTGGCAGCACAGCCACTTCCCTTCAATTTACACACAATTTTAAAAACAGTTTAAAACCTTAAAATCAAGGGGTGGGGGGAGAGAGACATGACACTCTATGTCTGTACTGCATAATTAGCTTAATGAGTTTGCCAAAGCCACTGCCAAAAGCTGCCCAGGGATAATCCATTCTCTCACACAACAAAACAAAACCTCTTACTTAGCTAG